AACGTTTTCTATGAAGCGCGAATATGAAATAAAAGTTTTAATACGGTTTAATGATATAAGTGACAATAGTAGATTGATATAAAATCAGTTTTATTGTAAAGCAAAGCTTATTTTCTATATTACAAAGTATTGATACTAATCTAATAAAAATAGCGAAAAATATAAATTTAGCCGTCTCTTAGTTGATGTTTGACTCCTTTAAGTAAAGAGACATAATTTTTTAATTAATTCTGGCGATTTTAGTACTATGGGGGCTACGTTATCCTAATAAAAAACTCAACGGACCGTTACAATCCCAGTATTCCTTGCAGGCCATCAGGTTTGCCTCAAAAACACGTCCACCCAGTCAGTGAAAATACGGTTGTTACGACGTCTTCCCCACTTTGTTTGCAGAGCCAAGGGACTCCAGTCAATCACTTTATTGATGCCATGAACGACACCGTTGGACGCCGGAACATCGATTGGATCTAGCTCGATCCCATTYACGTAAACACTCCCATCCCAACTCGAGCGAAGGCGAAGGATGTCACGTGACATGGAGAAGACCGAGTAGCGAGAGCCGAACAAGGACCAGTAGCTGTATTTGCACTCAAGWGAACAACTGTAGAAAGTGTTATTGACGAGGTGTGCGCGGAGGAATCGTAAGGCCTCCTTGGGGTCCCTCCTCAGAAGCCCTAGAGTGTTTGGCGAACCACGGAGCAGGCGCACAAATGCTTTGTTGGTTGGCGCAAAGAATGTGATCGATCCATCAATGTTGGTCAAGAACGACCTGACATCTGTGTTGTCAATGATGCGCACTAGATTCGAGAAATCTGGGTTTTTTAATAGGATGTCATAGATAGTGTTCTCTGGTATAGTTAAGACTTTGTTAATCACGTGGATAACACCATTGCACGTACCCAGGTTGGCACGTTTCACGCAAGCGCCATTAACAGCAGGGACCTAGGAACAACAATATTAGCCTGATTTAGAAATCTTCAATGTTTATAAATGGCGCGTGCTTCCTGCGCAAAGCCAGTATATTTGTCAATGGTTTATTCTTTTGTTTAATTTATTGACGAGAAAGCGCTTGCTTGATCTATTTGATACTAGAGTAGAGAATCTTTGGTTGGCGGCTTTACTTTGTATTTACATAAATGGCGGGAAATGCGCGTGGGCGCGACTTCCGACAGCGACTTGATTATTTACCTTTCCAAAACGGAATAAATTGAGTCTTAATCTCATTCCATTACTTGACATTATGAACTTATCTCTGCCAAACTCGTAGGTCCACACTTTTCGGTTAATGATATGGTATTTAAGTATCATGTCGAGTTTTTTCGGGTCCGCCATAATTTCATTCKTGATGGCTGTTGGCAGAAGTTCAAATGCGTCGTCTGTTGGCGCGAAGAGTGTATAAGAACTGCCGTTTTTCTCTAGTTCCTTCAATAAGTCACTTTTTTCTAGAAGTTTGGCGAATTGTGTTAGGTTCAATGCCTTCGCTGCTTCAATGACCTCCATGGCTTAAACAGAAAAAAAGGTTTTCAGTCAGAATGAACCTCTGAATAACTGCATCTACAAAAATAAACTTTTTTGCAGCTTTTTGGAGGAAACTCATTTCACTGTTTCAGTAGAGAGAATAAACAAAACTTTTAAGCATGACACATTGTACGAACAACAGTGAAACGTTTTACAAAAAAATTTATATATTCATAAATACTGTCGTCAATTATAATCTTTATATTTCTTTACCATCCATTGGTATAAGGACTTTGTCAATYACGTGAAGAATAGCGTCATCAGTTGTGACATCACGTGTGGTAATCATGGCGTCGTTAACTTTGAGTGTTGTGCCGTTGTCCGTCGATGTGATGTCAATAAACTGTTTGTTGATAGTTGAATAGCGTGCTGATTCTAGCAGTTGGCTGTACATTGGTCGGTCTAGTAAATGGTACTTCAGCACTTTCTGTGAAAGATAAGAAAACAGGATATTGTGATAAAATTCCATGAACAAATGGAGAGGCAAAATACTAAGCCATGTGGGATACATTGAAAAAAAAACACTTATTTGCGAGCATGCGTAATCGTTGCAGGAGGTTTGATATAACAAAGTGATTTTTAAAATTGTTTTGTGGCTCTTTTAACTTTACAATGTTGCAAAGTGACGTTTCAGTAAAAGTTGCAGACCCAGCAAGAGGTTGCAGAAGGCTTTGAAAATGCCTGTTATGAAAAATATATTTAATTTTATCTCAGTTACCGTAAGACACTCCTTATTGTTGAGTAGCCGCTCCAACCTGTCTGCTGGTAGAGCCTTGAAAGCATCATTAGACGGTGCAAATAATGTTACGTTTGATAGGTCCATATCAGCGTTGCGTAAAAGTCCCTCGAGGATTGACAACTTTGGATTACCTGCAAATGAGACATTATTTCANATAGATTGACGTACCAAGATAAGTTCAGATCCCACGCCAGCTTCTGTAATCAGTTTGACGAATTCGTTCAAACCAAGTCCTTTAGCAACATCAATRATGTTTTTCTTTGAAACGTACAATTCTGTTAATTAAATAATATAGATATACATATGTAGTTTAAATGTGTAACACATGCAGGTTTTAATAGAATTTTCACGATTTCAATTTCAATTTTCTGCCTGTGGTATCCCATATCTTCAATGCATTACTAATTCAKTTGTACCTTTTGGACATCCGGGTTTCCCCCTTGCTCGCTCAAAGCCTGGGCAGCACTTGTAGTGAGTGACGTAATGTCTTTTGAACCTGCGAAACAACATACAGATAAATGAGGGTTTTCCGATTCGAGTGTATACTAAAGCTTATAAGATGATCCAAAGTGCTTTTTGTCAAACGAAACTGCATACAAGAGTCTAACCACGATAGATTTCTGAACCTTTTACGTCAATGCATTGTGGGATCAGTTTCTAGAGAAAACAAAAGAAATTCGCCATGTTCTGTTCCAAGCACATCCTACAKTGCAAAGCTTCAGAGGTCTATATTGGTATAGCCTATCTGCTATATATCGATTGCTGATGGTCGAAGGATACTACATAAATAGTTGCCGTTGTTAAAAATATGCTCACTTTTATAAATGGTTCCCTTGCCTCCTTTGCAGTCGTCATTAGTATCGGTCATACACTCCCTCAGTGGAGAGAGAAMGTATGACCGATACTAATAACGTCTGCAAAGGAGGCTAATGATTCCCCGGGTTAATAAAGACGACGRTGTCACGTGACACGTTAATTATGGACAGTGAAACCGTTTCAAAGTCCATCAAAAATCACCACRAAGACAGATAYAATAATCTTAGAGCTCAATTAATTCTGTMAAACTTGCCTAAACGCAATCCTAACCTTGGCATGATTTTTGGATTTGGTTCAARATACTAGGATGCCAGAAGTGCCCTTCCTTATCTGCAGTTTCAGAYCATGTGTTCAGAAAAGACAAGAAAAGTCCAGTCGCGATCGATGTGGAATCATAACCTCCCTCTTGTCATATGTTTTTTTTTAAACGGTTTTTGGAATATATATTAAACCTATATGTCAGTGTAGGAGCCCCTTGGCGAACAATATAAGACGACGTCTGCAGCGGAGGTTGTGGAATATTAGGAATGTGTTTTTTCTCGAGATTGCCAACACAGCTTCAGAGAGACAGGAAGAAAA